ATCCTTGTCTTAAGTTTGTTTTTTAAAACGTCTTGTATTAGATTATACTCGTTTATTCCCCCTTCCAACCTTATCTCTCCTCCTCTCTTCTCTCCTTCCCGTCACACTTGATTTAGGAAGGAGTTTATCTTGCAAACATTTGCCTACTTTGTTTATGTAGACCAGGTTCTGCAGCTACTTGTTCCCAAAAGCCACTGTTTGCCTTTGTAATTGTTATCTGTGTTTATTGTTGTACCTCATTTGTCTCAGCTTTTTTTGTGACATGTAAGCTCCGTGTGTGCTCACATCCAGCCCCCCCCTTCCTTCTCCCTCTCTCTGCCTTTTTTTCTTTTTTTTTTTTTTCTTTTTCTTCTCCTCCTTTTCCCTCTCCTCTCTCCCTGAAATATGCACAGAATAACTCAGCCTAAAGCCAATGAATTGCTTGACACTACCCTATCTCTTTCCTGCCCCCCATTATTAGAGCTGATCCCACTCGCAACACTCACAAATCCCGCCTGGTCTCTGTTTGATTAGATTGCCAACCTTTCGTAATCCCTTGATTTGATGAAGTGTCTATTCCCCCCCGCCCCTCCCTTCTAAACATACATTTACAGAGAAAGCGCTTGTTGGTTTTAAATCGATGCAGATTGTTTGCTGATAAATTGACTCCATAGCCCCCCACCTCCGCTTGGGCAACAAAGCTCCTTTCCAGGTGCGGGGGTGTGTGTGTCCCCCTCTTTCTCCCTACCCCTTCCCTCCCCCGAGCCTAATTAAATTTGGCAAGACCTTGTACCAAACCGCCTCCCCCCTGCCCCCCACCCCACATACGCGGCGGTCACTGCTATCAAATTGAATTGTTATCACCTCCAAGTGTCCAAAATCCTCCAACCCCCCCCCCCCCCCCCCCCCCCCCCCCCCCCCCCCCCCCCCCCGCTGTTCACACCTGTGCGCATTTCCCACCTCCAATAAAAATAAACCCCGCTGCTATCCCCGGCTTTCACACCCGGGTTTTACCATCCCACGCAATATTTTTCCACGCTGCCACGGGGCGGGGGGTGTAGAAGCAAATCGAGTGGTGAAAAAAACTCCGTGCAATCCAGCGGAGTTCACAGAAATAAAACGGGGGGTGGGGGGGGGTGGGGAGCGGAAATCAATTGAACACCCAAGTTTTCACCCCAGATATAAGCCGGTGGGTCCCCCACGAGCATCACCCAAGCCCTGAGCATCCTCCCCCTGCATCCCGGAGGGGCAGGACCGGCTTCCCCCACTCGTGCCCGTGGGGTGACACCCCGGGTGGGGGGGGGAGCCGCTGAGCTCCCCTCTCCTCCAGATGGGCAAATCGCCTTCCCCGTCACCCCCCCGCGCCTGGCTGCGATTCACACCCCGCAGGATGAGGCCTCGCTCCCGCCCCTGCTCCTCCCGCATTAAACGCTGAGCACCTTCCCCAGCACCCCCGAGATTTGGGGTTACCCCAATTCCCCCCCTCCGCCTCCATCCCCACCGAGGATCTGCGGGACGCGGGCGAACAGCGCATCACCCACGCGTGACCCCTCCCTAATAAACCCCCCCAGTCATAATAAATAACAACAACCCAAAATAATAATAACAACTCGGTTTTAACAAGGATAAAAAAAAATAAAAAAATAAAAATAAAGTGAAGCCTCATGAATATATGCCCAGGGCTAGCTGGAGTGAGCCGTTTAAAGATGAAAGTGCAAAGAAATAAAGGCTCAATTTAATCTGCCTTAAAACCCTTCAACTTAACGTTTGTGCTGGGAACTCAGAGAGTGAGTACTGATTGGGGATAAATACATTTCTTAGCATGCCTTGGAGCTATTACACCCTTCTCCAACACAGCTCCCTATTCAACAGCCACAGTTTTCATTACCAGCTCTAATAAGTCTTAACATTATTAAATGCCAAGCAGACGATAGAAAGAAACAGGCGCAGGGTGGAAGCTTTCTTTACCACTTAAAAAGAGAGAGCATTTAGGGCTGTCTTCCTCCGGCTCCCCGCAAGGAGAACCCGCAAATGGAGCAAAGGCGTTTGTCAAGAGGAAAAAGGCCAAAACAAAGTTTTTCCCCCTCTCCCCCACCCCATCTACAATAATAATAAAAAAGCGTTAAAAAAAAAAAAGGAAAAAAAAACACAACAAAATCAAACCCACACACCCACGCGGTAAAAGCAGAGCTGGAGAACAAGTGTCAGCAGTGCGGTAGTATTTTTATTTTCTTGCAAACCTCCCAGGAAAATTTGGGGGGGGGGGGGGGGGGGGGGGGGGGGAAGAGACCCTAAATATTATAATTTTCGAGCCAAAAAATAAGAGGAAAAATACACAATGTACACTCACCGCCTCTGTTTTACAAGTTGAATCATCAATTACCTTAACTGGGGCCATTAAAACTTTTCCAGACATTAAAATATAAATTGACAGCGGTATTTTTTTAATTATTATTATTTTTGTTAAAGGTTATTTTTTCACTGCACTGGAGCTTGTGGTGATCGCGGCAGCTCTTGGGCGGCGCCGGCTCCAAGCCGCTGCCAAATTCCCGCTCCTGCGGTTTCTGCTCCCACCCCCTAAACCCCAAATCAAAGCCTTTTTGGGGTGATTTCTCTGCAAATCTATGGAGTTAGGGAGCGATTGAGGGGTAGAAAAAAAAAAGAAAAAAAAAAAGAAAAAACAAACAAACAAAAAAAAAGAAACAACCCCCCTAAAAAAACAACAAAAAACTTGATAAATTAGGATTTCTCTCAAGGGCTGGGGAAGGGAGCGGAGCCTGCGCGCCCGGGGGTAACGCGGCGCTCCGCGGGCTCCGGCGTCAGGAATTTGCCCAAATTAGCCCTCGATTCAAACCGGGCTGGTTTCATAAAGAAATGGGGGCTTATGTTTTATTTGTCCGCGATATTACCCATGAAGGAAGAAGAGAGCGTTTTGTTTTGCTTATTGACACGCACTTCTGCATGTTATTAAGGAATAAAAAGCCTCCAGCTCCTTCACTCTTTTTTATTTTGGGGGTGGTGATGGAGAAAACACTCATGGACAAGGGAAGAAAAATAATATATCAGCAGTTTAAAAATTATATCTTTTTTTCAAACAATGAGGCTCGAATAAAATAAATCTTAAACTCAAAGTCTTTCTCCCCCCCCCCCCCCCAATACAATTAAAAACACCCCAAAATGATGGGGGGGAGCTTTTCGCGGACACAATAGCCCCGATTTGCAAATGAGCATCGCCTGTTTCCAAATCACAAGCAACATTTTGCAACGTCCAACGGCTATCCTTTTTCCAACAGACGGTCCTATAATATTACAAAACTATCTAACAGCAGGGAGTTTTGAATAATTTATCTCCCTTTCTTCCCTTCCTTGGCCCTTTGTCCAAACTTTTTCTCCTCCTTGCAGAATTTTGAATGAGAATAGACAAGCCCTCCCTCCCCCATCCCTTTACTCCATTTTTAAGGCAGCCTACGTTTCCCCCCCCCCCTTTTTTTTTTTTCCTTTTCTTTTTTTTTTTTTTTTTCCTTTTTCTTCTACTGTTTGCTTTTGTGGTCAGGAATCTTTTGCTTATAAAGCTTCAATAGACTTGAAGGTCTTTGTAATTGAAGTTCATCTTCAAGGTTGGAAAAAAAAAAGGATCGTATCCTTAAAGAAACCCCTTTTGTGCACCTTCATTTAAAACTCCCACTAACATTTGATGGTGACATGGAAAAAGCTTTTTTCTGCCCCAAATTCCCCCCACCTCAATATTTCCCCACTCACCCGCATTGTCCCCAAATGGGGAAAACTTTGTAGCTAGTGAGAAACTTTGTAAGTGATTCCCCCCTGCTTCCCACACCCGGACTGGGGACCTTCTCCATGCAGAAAATACGTCTCACCCCGCTCCCTCATGGCCCGACACCGACGATATCACAAATCCCCCAAAACTCCAACCCACTCCACCCCAACAGGCCCAGGCCATCGCCATTTTGCCATCAATTTTGGAGAAAAATAGCAACTCCCAATTTCCTGAAGTCCATCCCCAAGACTTGCATAATTGCTGATCCCCCCCCCCCAAAAAAAAAAAGCACTGAGCTCTGCAACACAAGGAAATAATTTATAATTTTCTGCCTAAAGCGATACAGCAGCTCCTCCCTCCCGTTGCTTAAAACTTCCCCCTCTGCCAGCACCCTCAGTGATAAACTTCAATCGTGCCCCCCAAAATGACACCTTTCCCCCTTTTTTAGGAGGGATGGGGAATCATAACCCCCACTGAGCTTGCCAAAAATCATATTACAAGCACCGCAGCGGCCGGCTCCAGCCATGCCTCATCCCCCACCTCACATTTACAGCACAGGAGCTTTAAAAAGTTTAATTTTTCCTCCCATGAGAGGAAAGCGTCAACCGTGGGAGATGACAACAGGGCCCCTGCTCTCCCCCACCTCCGGCCTGACTTTAAGCCTTTCCTCAGAAAAGCTAGATTTATTTTTCCTGATTTTCTTTAGGGGTGCAAACCCCCCATTTCCTCTGATCCGAGGACCCTCCATCTCCCCTCTGTGCTTCCCCAGCGCTGGTGGCTCCGCGGCAGCCTCAGCGCAGCGCCGATCCCGGCTTCTCTAATTGATATTGATTGGCCAAATCGGTCAACTGTCAGCCAGAGTTTCAGGGGACCACTTAGAGAGCAGGAGAGAAATCTGTTTAACAAATTCATTTAGGAATCAGAGATGCCTCCCCTCAGCCATCTCCTTTTCCCCTTTATAAATAATTGATCCAGAGCAAAACACCAACTCTTCCTCCTAGGAGAGCATCCTCAGCCTGGGGGGGGTGGGTACCACCTTCCCCTCCCAGGGCCCTGTATCACACCCTCAGCTCTGCCATCAGTCATTTTTGGAAAAAAAAAAAAAAAAAAAACAAAACCAAACCAAAACCAAACAAATGCAAGAGGCTCTGGAGCCATCCCATCTTACTCTCGGTAGGGAGGGACATGTGCCCTCCCCCAAATGTCCCCTCCAGCCCAGCCCCGGGGCACGCGCAGCCGCCTTTACCTTTGTCGCCCAGGATGCCATCTATGCTGTGCTTGGCCTTCTTCTCCCCGTCTTCCTCCTTCTTGTCGCAGTCCTCCTCTTCCTCTTTCTTCCCGAATTTGATGCGTAGCACACGGCTAATCGAACTCACTAAACCTCAGACAGTCAAAGACAAAAAGGCAAGTATAAGCTGCCTGGGAAGGCAAGGTGGGAGCCGGCCAGGAGGCCCTGCACATACACGAAGGGCACCTGCACCCCCTTTTCCCAGGGGTACGCACCTGCCTGGCCCCCTGCACCCCCCAAAACACCCTCCCCCGGTCACTGAGCTGCTGAGTGGACACCCAAAGTTTGTCACCGGCCCCCCTGAGCCACCTGGCACAAGCAGCACCCCACGGAGCACCCCAGCCGGTGCAACGCCCTGGGGCACGCACCCCCAGGGCTACCGCCTGCTTTGCCACAGGGAAACAGCCCCCCAATACCCAGCTGGCACCCCAGCACCAAATGGGACCCTCAGCCTGCATTCAGATCTGGACCCTGTCCTGGATCTTGCTCTGGGGGGGGGGGGGAGATGTGCCCTGCAGAGAAAACTCAGCCCCCCCAAAACAGAGGGAAACACTCAGCCAGGACCTATAGAGCCCATACATCCCTGCAGGCCCAATACTGCGGTACGGGGTCACTTTCCACAAGCAACGGGGATCCCCAGCCGATGGGAACGCTGCTCTGCAGCCCCCCCCGAGCAAGTGAGTCCCAGCAGGGCAATCAGGGTCCCCCTCAACCCTGAATTTGGGGTCTGCCTCCACGTGTGTTCCCTCCGTGCCAGGAGCTCCCCCCCCCCCGCCCCCCCCCCCCCAGCTTCCACAGGAGTTGGAATAAGTTGGGAAAATCGGTTTGTTTGTGTTTGTTTTTTTCCAGCAGACCGCAGCAGCGCAGACAGGGCACACACCCCCTCGCCTGGGGTTTATTTGCTGCCGTGGGTTTGCTTGGGGTGATTTTTTTTTTTTTTTCCCTTTCCCTTATCAAAACAAAGGCCGGGAGGATGTTTATAGCCCCTGGAAACATTTTTTAGTGGCGATAATAATTTTCTTCCATCTTTCTAGCAGGTATTGGGGTGTTCTTCTGGCCAAGCTGCCTTCTCACCTGAGGGCACGGTGCTCCGGTCGCAGTGCCCATCCTTCAGGAGCCTGTCTCGGATCTCCCAGCTAAACATCCCGGGGTTTTCCCGTTTGTATTCCTCGATTTTCTTCTCCACGTCGGGAGTCGCAACCTGCTTTTGTGATCAAGGGACACCGGTGCGTGCCCGCGTGTGCAGAGAGAGGGAAGGGGAGAGAAAAAGCGCTTTTAATTGAAAAGAAAAGCTGTTCAAGCTCAGTTCAATCCTCCTCGACCTGGCTGCTAGTTTTGGGGCTGAGAAGAGGGATTTGAAGTTGGGAAAGGAAGAAAATAAAGCTGGGGAAAGGCCACCCTCCTCTCACAGATGTTGGCCACCCTAAAAGTAGAGTCTCTGGAGGCCAAGGAGATCAGCCAGGATGGGTTTATCCTAAAGCCCCAGGGGGGAGAACGAGGCAGGGAGGGGGTGCAGTGGATGCTTTTGGGGGGTTATGTAAACCCAACTATTTATTATTCCCCAAAACATCCTGGCTCACCTCCTCCCCACACACCGGGGCCGAGGCAAATGCTTGAACGCGCGCCACTTGTTGCACATGAGGGGAAAAAAAAAAAAAAAATCACTTTAATTTATTCATAGCTTTCAACTCGGCACCGGTTTCTACCCATCTGAGCCTGCAAACTGCAGCTTTATTAAAGCCCCTTCCCCTCCCCCCTTCTCCCTGCGAAACTCTTATCCCCCCTCCAAAAGAAATCTTTATTTTTTTAACCTAGGGAGGGCGGTTTAGCTCGGCCCCCGCATTGCACTCACCCTGGGCTTGCTGCCCCCGATGGCTCCGGGACGGATGGAGCCCGTCTCCTGGTACCTGCAGAGGATTTTGGACACGCAGCCGTGGGAGACCCTCAACTGCCGGGAGATCACGCAGGGCCGGATCCCGTGATGAGCCATCTCCACGATTTTGTGACGGATGTGGTTGGGCAATGGTCGGCCGTTGATGAACACCCCTCCGAGCTGGTTCACCCTGCCCTGGCCCAGCGGGGTGGAAACTGGAGAGCAAGGGGGGTGGGGTGGGGGGGGAGCAACAAAAAAAAAAAAAAAAACAACAAACAAAACAAACAAAAACAACAACGGGGGAAAAAGTTAAGAGAGAAAAATCCATCAACACGAGGCGCATCCCTCCCTGCACCTCCCGTTTCTCTCCTGGTATTTACATCTTCTAATAAAAGGGAGAAAGCTCTCGCCCATCCCATAGCCTCGGTATTTCTCTCTGCATCCCAGGAAAGACTTTCCCCATCGATAGAGAGAAAATAAAAATAGCCCCTGACCCACCCGCCCATCACCCCGCTCCCCGAGGTGGCCGTTGTGTTTGTGTCTCTCTATTTTTGGCATTTCACACCTATGCTTTAAATCATAGCCGACGTTTTAAATAAGGAAAGATTTAAAACCGCACGGCAAAGCCCCCCCAAACTTCCTATTCCCCGCCCCCCCCCCCCCCAAAAAAAAGCGCATTCCACTTCTTGCTGCAAATTACGGACCTATCCGCTTTTAAACAAACTTTTGGAAATAACCACTTTAAATACCCTCAGGCATATTTTTTTTTTTTTGTGGTTTTAGTGGGGTTTTGTGAAGCGGCTTGGGGAGGTGCGGAACAAGCGCGGATCTCCCGCGGCCGCGCCGCTTCCCCGAAACCTCGTGCAGCGCATCCCCGCCCGGAGCGCGGGACCAGCGGCTCCTTAATCTCCCTCCCCAATTTATTTAATATCTCGCAATGTAGATCTTGCAGATTAATACGATTTCACAGGCTGGAAATTAAAAACAAAACAAAAAAAAAAGCGGGGGGAAGAACTCAGCTGGGTAATTTGCAGAAAGGCTGGAGGGGGCGAGGGACAGGGAAGGCGAGAGGGGGGATTTTTCTCTTTATACAAAGAAAAGTCGATTCCAGAAATTGCCTCGCGATTTAACAAGAATCATGCACCACTAATTCCGAGTCACTTGGCCAGCACTCCCTGGATATATCATTATCGACAGATAACACTCGAGTGGCCAATTTTACATTCAAGAGGTACTAAAACCGCCGGCCGCTCTCTCTTTTCATTATTCCCAGTCATGTTGTGCAAATATTGTTGTAATCCTTTGATCCTTTCCCTTGCCGTCTGTTTTACTTCATTTGCTACAGAAAAGCACTTCAACAAATCCCCCCAGCTTGTATGTTTTGCAGCCTGCGTGGTTTTCCACAGGTTTGAGTTTCGCCACTTGATCACGGTCAGGATAAAATTTTCCTGTTTAATAAATGCGGCGAGAGGGGTCCCGCTCTAATTTTGCCTTTTTTTTTTTTTTTTTTTTCTTTCTTTTTTTTGTATGTCTCGAAATAATAACCCCGTAACACAAAGAAAAAGCAGATGACGGGAGAAGTTGATGCGCTGCGAGGTGGGGATGACACTTAGCGAGGTGACAGCTACAAAGTCCCCCCCTTTCCCCTCGCCAGCCCCGGCCAAGGACATCTCGGCTGCCCGCAGCTAGAGGATACCCCCGACTTAAGGGGTTTTTTCTTATTTTGCCCCGGAAAGTTGAAAAATAATCGATTTAGTTGGTTTTCCCCACCTTTTCGGGCAGATTAAATAGCCGGGGTATTTGCGGGTTTAAAAAAACAACCCTCCAAACCATAAGAACCTGCCCCCCTCAAAAATCTGCGGGATGCCTGAAACTACTTTAAATAGGGGGGGGAGGGAAAGAAACAAACTTAAAAATCCAAAACCTGGTAATTTCTCGGGGACGGAGCAGCTACAGCCAGAAGGGAAGGAGCTAAATATCGGCGAGAAGTTGGATGCTCAGGTCGGGACCCCCCCCGGCTGCAAAGTTGAGCTGTATCCCCCCCCAGAGCAGCCCGGCCCGGCCCCCCCCGGGGTACAGCGAGGTGCTGGGGCGGGGGGGGAGCGGTTTAGAGAGGTGCTTTTTTTCCCCAGACCTACCTTCCAAGGGGAAGCCTGTGCGAGGGTAGTTTTGCCCCGGAGCCGGGCGCATCATCCGAGGCACCGTCCCGGGCAGAGCTGCCATGGTAAGGGGGGGGGGGGGGGGTCGGGGCGGTGGAGAGAGTCCGGTCCGAACCCGGGGGGGGGGAACCCCTTGGCCCCGGGAAAGCCGAGAAAGCCGGGGAGGGGGAGCTGCGGGGCTGCTTCTCCTCGGAGCCGAAGCGCTTCTCTCTTCCAGCCCGCGGCTGCAAAACAAGGGAGAAATCTTTGCTCCAAAGGAAAAAAAAATATATATATATATATAATAGCAATAATAATAATAATAAAGAGGGCGGGAAAAGGGAGGGGAAAATCACCCACCAGAAATTCCTCTTAAAGTTTTAGGGCTATGTCACAACCGGCCTGAGCGGGCGCTCCGGAGGAATGTAGCCCAGGGAGCGGGGAGAGGCGGACACAGCCAAAGTTGCCTCGGTGCTGGGCTGGGCTTAGGGCTGGGGGGGCCGGGGGGGGGGGCGGGAGCCGACTTTCCCCCCTTATTTTGTTGTTGCTTTTTTTTTTTTTTTTTTTTTTTTTTTTTTAAGTGGATGGTGCCTGTCGCTTAAGGGATGCTCGTGATGGGGGGGGTGGTGTGGGTGGGTGGGAGGAGGAGGAGAATTGGGGCGGGGGGGGGGGAACGGGGAGGGGATGTCAGATGGAGGGTTTGGAAGTTGTTAAAGTTGGGGCCGTGGGGAGGACGAGCGAGCTGTGATAGGCTCCGGCTCCTTTCTTTTATTCATGGCCGGGAAGGGGGTACCACGGAGGGGCCGAGGGACCAATAAGAGGCAGCAGCTTCCCAACGCGCAGGCAAAGCTATGGGCTCGCCCTATTTTTTTTTTTTTAAAAAGATGTTATTATTCATTACTAGGCTTGGCTTCCTTCTAGTGGGAAGCTGGGGTCCCCCAATCCTGGTTTGAAAATATATTGGGGTGAAAAGAGCGAAAAGAAAGTTTATGAGAGGTTTGGGGTTTTTTTGTTTGTTTGGTTGTTTTTTTTTTCTAAGAAAGTTGGGTGTGCCAAGGACATCGGTGTGGGTCCCAGCGGGGTAAAGCCGGCACGGGGCGAGAGGGGGACCTCGTCCCGGGGGCTGCAGCATAGTTTAAAAAATAAAAATAATAATAATAAATAAATCAACCCCTTAGCTGCCTGCCCGAGCCCGGCACTCAGTGCCTTGCAGCCCCGGGATGGGGGTGAACCAGTTTTCCCCCCCCTTCCCAGCAGTTGCTGGGACGCGACTGGTCCTGCCCCGCTCACACCTGGGCCAGCCTCGGATTCCCCGCCCCCCCCCCGGCCCCGCTCTATGGGGCCGGGTTTAGGGAGCAGGGGAGAAGCCCCACCACCTCCTTTACCCAGCCCCAGGTAGCTCCCTGCGCTCCTCCCTCATTAACATCCCATCTTTAATTAAGAGACAGGCTCTGAGATGCCCAGCTGGTACAATCTGGGGGGGGGAGAGGGGGTGGGAAGCTTCCTGGGGTGACTCCGATGCTCCCCACTGTTCTCCCGCGAACTGCCCGCTCGCTCGCTCATTGACCCGGGACGGGTTGAACAAATAGCCAATGTTTTCCCCCCAAAATAGGAGCGGGGCAGGAATCCTCCTCGCAGCGGGGCATGACGCCAGGGCTCACGAACCCTTTTGTTTGCAGCTGTAAAAAGGACTTGCCGTGCAAACCGCTGGAAACTTCTCTGCCCCCTCCCTTAAAAAGCATCCTGGGGTGGGGCGGGGGGGGGGGGATAAAGCAACCAGCGACACTTCTGACCTATCTGGACCCAAAATGCGGTCCCTAAATCTCCTCCCTGTCCCCCCCGAGGGCATCGCCACCCCTAATCTCCCCCCTTCTCCAGTGCTGGCTTTTGCTTTGAAATTAAAGCCCTGGCTGGATCCCTCCTAGTCCGGCCACATCTTCATCTCTCACCCTCTTCCCCCGCAGCAGCAAAGCTCAGCTTAAACCCGCACCCGCCTCACTGCGCGGCCCCGAGTTGGTTTGCCTTACGTTTCCACGGCTAAATTCGCCCAAACCCCCCCCCCAAAAAAAAAAAAAAACACGGGACAGGGGAAAAAAAAAAAAAAAAAAAAAAAAAGGCAATATTGAAATTCTTTCTAAGGTGTCAAGTTGCTCCCAAAGTCTCCTCATCCCGGCGCAGCCCCGACTCCGGGGCTCCAGCAAACGAAAATAAAGACTTTCTCCTTCCCTCCGCCCCAAAAACGCTATTTCCCGAAGTTTTAGGCAGAAAAATAACGGGCAGAGCCGAGCAGGACCAGGTCGGAGCCCCTCGCAGCCCCTTCTCCACCGCATTCCTCCAGCGCGGCAGTAATTCAATTATTTGCCTTTCATTTGCTTAGATGGGGGGGGGGGGAAAGCCTGGGAATAAAGTTGAAAATTAAATGTTTCTGCTCTCCCAGCACCGGGGGAAGATTAAACTAAAGGACCCGAGCGCGAAGTCTCTGCCTTCCCCGCCGCTCTAGGGTTACCTCGCCGGGAGAAAAATCTCTCACATCAAACACAGCATTTGTTTTCCCTCGCCCTCTCTCAAATTGGGGTAAGATTTGACACTTTCAGGCAAAAAAAACTTCACTTTTTCCTCCAGCACTTGCTTCCAGCTCCGGGCAGCCACTAAGCAAAGAGCTACCTTTTTTTTTTTTTTTTTTTTAATTATTATTTTATTTTTTTGGTGTTTATTTTTATGTAAGGACGCGGTGGCATGTGGCAGAAGCCCCTAATTTTGTTTCGGGGGAGGGAGGGGGGAGATAAGGGGGTGACAGGGGACTGTCACAGCCGGGGGAGGGGGGGACACTCCTGCTGGAAAGCAATTTCACAAATCATTTTTCTAACAATTAAGGAGTGTGCAGGGGTGAAATGGCGATTTCACATGCAGGTCTGGGGGCCGGGGGGTGTTACCTGCGCACCCAGCTGAGAAAGAAGGAACCCCTTTTAAAATTTTTTTCCCTTTTTTTTTTTTTTTTTGCCCAGTGCTCTGCTTCATTACCCATGTTCACAAAAGAGAGACCCCTTCTTTTCTCTCCTGGGAGCAGCGAGCAATAGATTAAAACAAGCATCAATCAGGAAAGGAGCAAGTAACTGCTTAAAGAAACAGGGGCAGAATTCCTCCCCGCTTTCCCCTTTCCCTGCGCATCTCCATGGTTTCCTAAGGTATGTTTCTGGTTGATAAATGCCGTATATCGCTATTCCCTTTGGAGAAACGGCTTGTAAATCAGCGCTGAAAGCCAACTCATAAGCAGAAGGGAATGGGGTTGGCTTTTTTTTTTTTTATTTTTTATTTTTTAGGAGCATCTCTCACCCCCAGCATCCATCCCCTGCATCCTCCGGGAGAGGAAGGGGCTTTTCAGGGGCGAGGTGTTAGCTGTCCCTTTGGAGGGGGCTAACAGCACCAGGCTGGGGAGAAAAAGGGCTGCATGCTCAATTCTTGGCTTGAAGAAGATGCACACAGGTTAGCTAAGCCTGCCCAGAAAAATCACCGGGGCATGAGCGCCGTGCTGGAGGCGAGCAGCCCCTATCATCAATTATTATTAATTATGATTCTCCTCAAAGGAAAATCCTATTTTTTTTTTTTCCAGATCCATCTCATTTCTAGAGCAATGCAGATCTAGAAATGAGAAATCTCCTTAGAAGTCAAACACATCTCATCTAGTCAACTAAAACCTGAAGAATTTGAATACAATTTTTTTTCCCCCTCCACAAGTAGGACACACACACAAAAAAAACCCGCCTGGGGATGAATTATTTAATGAAAAGTTGCTACCTTCTGCAATTACAAGAAGATTACTAATGTGGGAAGGTTTTCCATTTGAGATCCTGGAGTAATAAGCATTATTTTTTTTAAGCGATTATCCAATAAATCTCTCTTTAAAGGGTGATAAATCCACCTTGAAAACTGGGGATTTAAAAAAAATATTTCTGAGGGACTTCTACATTTTTTAAAATGACCATTGAAAAATCGTGAAAGGAAGAGTAACACATTCAGCCTGAAGTGTTTGTTTTTTCAGAAAGCCCAGAAAGGAGAGGAGAAATACTTGCAGCAAAGGCAGGCTCAGGAAAAACAGACTGCTTGGTTAAAAAGGTGTCTGAGAGCTGGAAAAGCAGCTCCTGGTCCAGGACCAGGGAAGCCAAGTCCACCCATCCTCACCATCACCCCAATAAATTGATTGTTCATATTTACATGAAAGCTCAGAAGCTGCCAGACGAACCAGATGGGATTTGGGTGCAGCTGTTTGGTGCCTGATCCCACCGGAGCCTCTTGCAGCAGTCCCGGCCCGCTGGTGCACAAGTGTCCTCCCACATCCTGGGGCTCAGAGGACCCCAAGTGTCCCCAGGTATCGGAGGTCCCTGGGCAGGACCCCGCAAAGGGGGCTACAGACAAAATCTGAACTGTATTTGTTGCTAAAAATCTCCTGTTGGTTGCTGGTGGTTTAGAAGCCGCAAAGGCGGGACAGGGAAGAGAAATTTAAGGTCTTGTCTTGGTTCCTGAGCTCCGGAGCATGGCCCTGGGCTTATGTGCTGCTCTCGAAGGCTCCTCCTGCCTCCCCTTTCCACGGGGAACAAGGCTCCGCTTATTTGCCAGAGATGCTTTTAACTTCATGGCTGAAGAAGGAAAAAAGTCCCATGCGATTAGATCATGGGGGTTTTGAAGCCCTAAAGCAGGGAGAAAACTCTTTCCACTTCCAGGACTATTTCTAAAGGAAAATTTTGCACTTTTTTTAAACTCGGAGTGCTCCTGCACCACCAACACTGACCCTGCAGCTTTGCAAGGGACTGGGTTTGCCATGTTGTTAATTTGTGCATGTAACAGGAATTTTTTTTTTTTTTTCCCCTCTCCCAGAGAAGGCAAGACCCAAGCTCAAGAATAAAACTCCTCCAACTCTGGTCCCCATCAAGATGCAGAACAAAAGGCAGAGCGTCACAACAGCACCAGGGCTCCTTGGATCTGCCTCTCCACCGGGTCAGGTTTAATTTGCCCAGGGTGCAGTATTAATAGGATGTAAGATGCACCCTTGAAAAATTACCTTATCAAAGCATAACATCTATGGAATGA